AGAAATCCCAACAAGCGCAATTCAACTTGTCTTGGTTGGACGTCTTTGTCTTTGCACAAAATGCCACTTAATACTCGACCGGCTGGCTTAGAGAGGGGATGTCGCCGCTCAGTGCTGCTCTAGACTCATCCAGATCATGCTCCAATAGCTTGTTCAGGGCATTTAAATGGGTCTCAATTCGACCGATACGAGTATCAATTGACCCCTTGCGTCTCTTTGGGGAGTTTCAGCCACCTGTTCCTAGTCTAATAACTCTCCACTCCGAGAGAGATTCTAACCTGTGGCTTGCCGCCTAGCCTTCCTCCCTCGCACACAGTTCCCATGCTGATAGCCACTACGAAATTGCAACCACAAAAAGTCATTTATAGAATGATTCTCAAGTTTGATTATGATCTCGGGGTTTACTCCTAGGAAGCCAGATGCTCGGTATCATTTGTTATGCGGGAGTGGCGTTGGACATGTTTGCTACCAAGCTTACCTAGATGTGCTTCAATAACCACAGACTGGTAAGTACGAGATCGTTGTATTTCTCATTCCCATCCCATCAAAACAAATTCTTTCGGGAGCATCGATCAAGGCGTTTTTCTTCCAATTGGGTTAATTGAGCGTGGATCACGCATCTGTGCCTTGTCAGTGAATATGGAGGCTAGGCAAAGCGCACTATCATGACAGGCGCCCTCATTTTGGCTCGTCTCGTGATATCAAGGCCGATAGAATTACAGATAGCCTTTGTAGATCATCATTTGTTTCAATAGCAGGCTTGTCTTGCCGGCCTTTGATGATTCGTCGTGGGGGAGGGGGAGGGCCAGCCGATTTCCTCTTTTGGGTGTCAATAGAAATGTCAATAACCTCCTCGCATAGCCACTCAATCTCCCTCCCAAACTACCACTAATCTATACGAATCAATCCTATTCTCTCAGTAAATAATTAAGCTTATTCAGGATTTGTGGCGAAAACTTCCGTCCAGCCCTTGTAGCAATCTGCTTGGCAACTTGGAGCAAGTCTTCCAAGCGCGGCAGTGAGCCTACAACGCTACCCACCACCCTCATATTGCTTCCTGACAAAACAATATCAGACGCGCTTTCTTTCATGAATTCCCAGTTTGTTAGATGATATAAATGGGATGTTTGATTTCTATAACTGGAACTCGTATGAAGTGACAAAGTTGAAAAAATTTGGACGAACAACTCACCATTGCGACCTGAAATCAATATGCCACCAACCATGCCTAATAATCTCTAGCTCTTCATAAGATCACAAAGTTTCATAATTGTCTAGAAGCTTTCCGTTGAATTTGATGGTTCCTGGTGGAAGGATTGGTGTCATGGGGCCGGAGGTTGTGGCAATGGAGGGTGCTTATTGAGCCAGCCCATCAATAACATCAATAGTCAACAAAGCGAGCGCCCAATAGTGAGCTATGATCCCAATCTCACATGCTCGCAATTCGCATCATGTGAATAGTATCAAAAGAAAAGAACATAATGAGGACTTGTTCTTGCAATTTGTAGATAAATAGGCAGCTTCTTTCCTCTGTCAACTCATCCTGATCCAACACCATCATCCAAAAACAACAACTACTACTACAACCACTTACACAAGACAACACCAACACAACCTCCCTACCTTTACCATGAAGTTCTACCTCCCTGCCTTGGCCCTCTTTGCCAGCGGCGCCCTCGCCAGTCCCGCTGCCGAGGCTGTTGCCGACCCCGACCCCTGGTGCACTCGCATCGGACAGCCTTGCTGGAAGAACAAGCGCAATGCTGAACCCTTCGCCATGCCCGAGCCCACGGCAGCTCCCAACCCCGAGCCCGCCCCTGAGGCGAACCCTGACCCATGGTGCACCCGTATTGGCCAGCCTTGCTGGAAGAACAAGAAGCGAGAGGCCGAGCCCATGCCTGAGCCCGAACCAACCGCCGCCCCTGAACCTGAGCCCGTCGCCGAAGCCAACCCAGACCCATGGTGCACTCGCATTGGACAGCCATGCTGGAAGAACAAGAAGCGAAATGCGGAGGCGCTTGCTATGCCAGAGCCAACGGCTGCCCCGGAGCCTGAGCCCATCCCCGAGGCGAACCCCGACCCGTGGTGCACTCGTATTGGCCAGCCTTGCTGGAAGAACAAGAAGAGAGCCGAGGAGCTCATCGTATAAGTATGTCCCAGCTTTCTTTCGTCCATTATGGGGCATAGGCTAACAGTTTCTTCTCCAGGTGCCTGTCACCCTGACAGCATATGAATTTTCCCCATAACAAACTGAGGAAACTCTGCCGACATGGCAGTAAACGACAATACAAAAGAACCGAAACGCAATGTTGCCTGGTGCACGAACGACAGACATTCATACGTCCAATCTTCTTCTTCTTGGGCCCTGGAACTCTCATAAAGTATTGATGAATTATGAGTATCTGGGGTGGTCTTGGCTATTTTTCCCTTTGTATGGCGAGACGTCGATTCGACCTCGCTCTTTTATCTTAATTGATGATCTCTTTTGGACATTACCTTGGAAGCATTCTTATTTTCCTATATTTTAAGGAAAGCGGTGCTTATACACTGGCTTTCAGGCTTTTGTATGGATCGGTTCGGGCAGCGTATTCTAGGTAGCAGAATGGATATACCATTTATCCTCGAGTTTTGGTGGAGATGAGGTGGTCAAAGACTACCTATTCGTAGATCAACGATGGTGAATAAGTGATGAGTACATGGTAAAGCACCATATCGAGGGTGGCTTCCACCACTCCTCAAAAAGAAAATATTACTTTGTCCACGCGCACACGCGCAACAGCAGGACTAATACGACAAGGACATTCGCGGCTATGCTAAGACGTCAGCAGTTAAGACAGTCGCGTTGGCCAAGCTTCTCAAAATATGCCGTGGATCGATGAATGTCGTGTGTCATGGCTGTCAGCGTTGCCGTGCAGCGGAGCTCGCGCCTCAATTAATATGATGGACAAGGAAATTGTCACGCAGGCAGAGTGTCTGTGCATTCGTCTGGACGTTCATTTGTCTGACAGACGGTGTTTCACGTCGCCTGCAAGGCCAGAAAAGAATCAAGACTAGGTTCGCCCAACCAACTGTGATGCAACATTTCGGCGTCGAGATGCTCAAGATGTTGCCTCACAGTTGTTGAGGTAATCTCGCCATTCTCTCTTCTCGCCTTGGGAACTACGTGATGTGGAAGAGAAATATACAAGGGCTAGGCTGCATGTGTCTACGTGCGTGCAATGTGAGTTAATATGTACGTTCAATCATTGCGGTCCTCCCCATTACGCACGAGGCGGAGGGAAGCACCGCACCCAAGATTGTTCGCTGTAGTCTGTTCTCCATTCTGTGTTCCTCGCGATCGATGGTCTTGGGCGCTCGCACGAGGCGGGCCTCGCATCCATGTGAAGAGAAACCTGAACGTTGTTTTTTGCGTTGTTCAATAATGGAGAAAAGAAGGAAACGAAATGAAAAAATTTCGGCCAAGATTGAAGATGTAGGTGGTTGTAAAAGTGGGGCCTAATATGTGCCTGAATTCTGGTGCTGTTACAGCCTGAATTATGAGGCACAAAATCTGCATCCCAGGTCATGATAGCGTCGGCATCATCCTGATCTCTCGACCATGAATTAATTCAGCAAACCAGTCAGGTTGAATCTTCAATCACGCTCTTCTCGTTGCTGATTCCAGTGACCTCTTGCTATATGTCGCATGAAATCGAGCTCCACGAACCGGAAATCAAGTGAACCGCAAGAGCCTCGCCTTTCACCCTTGCCCCAGCACCACCCTACATACCAGGAACGTACTCCCGAACAAACGGCATCATGAAGTCGGCCTTTCCCAATGGAACGCCTTCTTTCCTGAGTATTGCGTACGTAATGGACACATGGAAGAGAATGTTCGGCATCGTCACACCGTGTGCGTATACCTTGCCTGCCAGATCCATCGTGACACCCGGTCCCATTGCCGTGGGCGCCGCCTCCTCGCCAAGCTTGTTCACCACGTCCTTGTCCGTGTTCTCGACCCGGGCGAGGACCTCGTTGATGCGCGCATGCATCTCGTCGTACGAAGTCATGTTGTCCTCGTAGACGATGGTCTCCCTTCCCGACAGCCGAGAATTGATTATCTCAGTGAATTTCGTGACCGTGTAGACTTGGAAGGTGAGCGGCTTCATGTCCTCGCAGAGACGGGCGCCAAGGAGGCTGCTGGCGTTGGGCTGCTTCTGGGCCACCTCAAGGAGGTGTGCCGTGTCCTTGAGGGCAGCCTTGAGGACAGGGATTGTTCCGTCGTATAAGCTGTATGCCATGATGGTCAATGGAGGAGGAACTGGTTGCTTGAATTTGAATTATAGCTCTCAATGGATGTAGATACCCCTCCAAGAGACTAAAAATGCCCCTCTTGAAGCAATTGGCCTGTTATTGCTACTTTACTGGGTGGTTGCTCGCCCTTGCCAATTACTGATTACTAACAGATCTCCTCAGCCAATTGCCTACCTGGACTGAATGCGTGCTCTTTCCATCGCCACTGAATCAGCATGCTCCTCCTCTCTTTCTGTTTCACGTGAAACAGAATGGGCTGGGACTAGAGCGCGTTGATGGTGGGAAAGCTTCACCCATCCGTTGAGCTCAGCTTACATGGGACCACACTGAGATGCCGCGAAGGAGCTTGGCATCCCGTTTCAGGCATCACGCGGCTAACGGCCCATTACAATGCAGCTGATGAACCAAATGTCCTCTCCAAACCCCTCCTTGGCCTGAGCTGATGACGCAAGCTGCCAACAAGCGTATTATCGACTGAACCAACGATTGCCTTGCCGCAGCTAGGAGGGCAGTTATCGAGAGCATCACGCCGAACTCTTACCCCCTCATACATCAATCGCCATCGGTATTGCCCCGCCAAACTCTGCTCTGCCATCTCCCTCAGAACAGACGACGCAGGGTAGCTCAACAGCCCTACAAGCAGGAACCAGCCCCACGCCCTTTTTTACGTCCCACTCCAAGGCAAGCTCCTTGGTCTCGATTCGATCATGGCCGACATCACGGCGCAACTCGCCAATTTCAACCCCTTCTCCAAGCACAGCCGCAAGGGCAACGAGGACGTCGGCGACACCATCGAACCTGGTGCTGTAGGCAACCATTTCCACATTCTCGACTCGGCCAAGGCCACCCTGCCAGTCAGCCATGCCCTCAAGGCGTTTATAGCCAAAAACGAGATCCTTCCCGAACGAGATGTTGGCCTCGGCGCAGAACATCACACCGAGGCGCTGCGTTCGCTCCTGTGCAAGCCTCACATCCAAGTCCCTCCCATCGTGACCGACCGATCATACCCCCTCCCCGACTATTTCATCAGCTCCAGCCACAACACCTACCTGCTGGCCCACCAGCTGTTTGGAGAATCGAATGCCTCAGGGTACAGAACTGCTCTGACCACCGGCTCTCGTTGTGTCGAAATCGATGCCTGGGACAATCCCGACGACCTGAAAGAGCCCAAGGTAACCCACGGGTATACATTGGTGTCCCATATTCCGTTCCGAACCGTTTGCGAGACGATCCGAGATGTGTTTGACGAGGAGCTTGAAGCTACTTTCAAAACCCCGGGCCAGGAGCCCTCGCCCATCCTGATCTCCCTTGAGAACCACTGCGGCCCTGAGGGACAGCTGCGCTTGGTCCAGATCATGACTGAGGTCTGGGGTGATCGGCTGCTCAGTAAAGCAATTCGCGAGGGAGCGGATCCCGAACATGTAACCTTGAAAGAGCTTCGTGCTAGTATTGCAGTTATCGTCGAGTTCCACTTCCCCGATGAAGTCGAGCACGATGACGACGATGACGAAGAAGAGGAAGAGGACGGCGTCGAGATCACTGAGGACGAAAAGAAGGCCAGGCAGGAGTATAAGCAGAAGAAGAAGACCCAGCCTTCTACCCTCATCATCCCAGAGCTTGCGGCGCTAGGAGTCTACGCGCAGTCCGTCAAACCCGTTAACAACTCATGGTTTGATTCTGGCGAGCTTCTCAATGGACCACACCATCATCTTATAAACGTGTCGGAATCTGGATTGAAAACCCATTTGCCAGCGAACAAGGTGCCAATTTCCATTCATAACTCGCGCCACCTGATGAGAGTCTTTCCCAAAGGTACACGCATCACGTCGTCGAATCTGAAGCCCGTTCCATTCTGGGGTCTGGGCGCCCAGGTCTGCGCTCTCAACTGGCAGACGTACGGCACGAGCAATCAGCTAAACGATGCGCTTTTCTTCGGCACGGATGGCTTCGTCCTGAAACCCGAAGCTCTTCGCGCCGGAGGCAGTGGAAATATCGCTACTGGGCGAAAGAAGAGGCTGCGTCTACATGTTGCAGGTGCATCCAATGTGCCTCTCCAGGAGGACAATGACGGGGACGATGCGATCAAGCCGTACCTCACTTGCAATCTATATCACCCGGACGACCTCGAAAACGAGCCACCGAAGCGCAAGACTTCGGCGTATCGACAGCATAAACTCGGCTTCCTCCACCGTGGTGAGAATCCCCCGCCCACCGACCCGATCTGGGATGAGACACTCGAGTGGGAGTACGACGACAATGAGCTCGTATTTCTGAGACTCCTTATCAAGAGTGATGATTCATGGGCCGTGAACCCCATTGTTGCCGCCCTTGCAGTGCGTCTTTCGTATGTTACACCGGGCTGGAGCTTTCTCCGCATGATGGACCTCAAGGGCAAGGAAAGCGATTGTAGCGTTCTTGTCAAGTTTGAGTTTGAGGATATCTAGGAGCAACTGCGAAGAAAGGAAGGACAGTATAGCGAAAGACGTAAATACAGGCGCCTCCATGGGTTGGTGTCATGCCGTTCATTGTAGCAGTAGTAGCAATATTTCCAGTGGGTTGGAACAGAGCACCTAAATAGACCACATACCTTATGCACTCGGACCTGGAGGTCTTGTTGCTCCCGTCCAAAACACGCGCTGGCCCATTTGAGTTGGATCTGGCGGGCGCAGCAATGTTCCAAGGCGCTAGCCAATCGATTGCAGATCTCCAGTCTTACCGTCGGCAAGTTCGTTGCCACTAATGAGGTAGCTGGAACCTGAGGTTACATGCGTCATGCTTGGGCGAAACAAGCTGATTATTCCACCACTAGAATGACCTCATCGTGATTGATGTGATCCCCTCCTCCATAGCTTAAATACATGAATCCTGTACCCTGAAAATCGCGATAATTTTATTGCAAATAGTTTCTCCCGCCGGGTCTTATTATACTGTACATTACGAGAATCACTAAATCACTGACAGAATGGTTTTGGAAGAATATACTCTAGCTCTGGCGAGCTCCCTTGAAAAGGCCAATCTGGTCCCGGGCTCCGCCGCCAGCCTCATCCCTGAGGGATTCAAGCCAACGACCAAGCTCAATATCACATACGGCGACCGCCCTCTGGACCTGGGGAATCTCTTTCGCGTCACTGAAGTCAAGACTGCGCCATCAGTCTCGTTCCCATCCGAAGTGAGTTTATGAGATGAGGTTGCCCGCGCAGTCCCATGCACAGATATCTGCCCCCGGTGTCAACCGAGATTTTGACGTTCATTTGATGCATTTTCTAATTATGGCATGTTAAAGGACGGCGCCCCAGACGGCGCCTCATACCTCTTGCTACTGGTCGACCCAGATGCGCCCACGCCAGACGACCCCAAGTTTGCCTTCTGGCGACACTGGGTTCTGCCGGGTCTCCAGCCTTTGAAGAACGCAGACGATATCGTAGGGCAAACGAAACGCGCCCTGACGGAGTATCTTGGCCCGGGACCCAAGGATGAGTGCGTCTCCCCGTCGGTCTGCCGTTGCGATTTGAGGATTTTACTGACTTGGTGATGCACCACAGTTCAAAACCCCACCGCTACCTGTTCCTGCTCTTTAGGGAGCCCAATGGGCTTGATCTGGCAAAGGAGGATGTTGGAGGAGAGGAGTTTGTGCAGAGGAGATCATTTGACCCGGCTACGTTTGTGAGCAAGTACGGGTTGAATCTGGTGAGCGTGAATTGGATGCTTGGTGCTGGTGATGGTTGGTCTGAGTAGATGGGGAGTTTTTTTTGATCGGGAACGGGTGTCCTTGATGTTTATAGGATGAAGCTACCATAGCTAGGTCCATCTTTACTAGGTCTTTTCCTTGACGAATATACCTTGAGATTTTAGCGTACTGGCGAATTTGTGCCATTCACTCGTGCTAGTTTGTGGTGGAAACATAACTCTTAAAGCATTTGAGCCCAACACTTCGATGGAGGAATTTATTCTTTCCAATCACATGAGCAAAATACGCGTCCGAAAGAGTCAGCGATCTATTTTCTGGGCTGCTTTCTTTGTTCTGCTTGGATGAATCTGATGCAAATATGGCTGCCATGATTGGCTATAGGGTAAGGAACTGACGTACTACCCCGCGATGATCGGAGACGCCCCGCCAAGATGCTCCCACTTCATGGCAGCTCCTCCAATATCCGCGACCCTAGACAGCTCTAGCCTCTAGCGACATCGGGCCCCGCTATGGAATGACCAAACCATTAGATGGCTTGTCGTCTCCTCGATTACAATTTGTTGGGACACTCCGGCTTTTCCGCGCCCTCAAAAGGAAGAGAATCCATTGATCTGAGTCCTCGCACCTCCTCGCACCCTCCAAGAACATTCAGACGCTTCCGCATCACATCTACAGGCTTCAATCATGTCGGCCTTCCCACCACCACCAGTCAACACCATTGACTGGTCCAATGTCGGCTTCAAGGTTCGCGAGGGTAAGATCGCCGCTCCTTCCCCTCTCCTACGCTCAGCTACGGCTATCTGAAGTCTTCCCGTTCTAACTGGCACCGATCCCAACAGTCAATGGCCACATCGAGTCCACCTGGTCCAAGTCCACCGGGGAATGGACCCCCCTCCGCTTCGTCGCCGACCCCTACATGCGAATCCACGGCATGGCCCCGGCCCTGAACTACGGCCAGCAGGCCTACGAAGGTCTCAAGGCCTTCCGAACCCCCAACGACGCCGCCATCACCGTCTTCCGCCCCGACCGCAACGCCCGCCGCATGCAGCACTCGGCCGACGTCGTCTCTATGCCTCGAGTCCCCGAGGAGCTCTTCCTCAAGGCCGTCCGGGCCGCCGTGGCCCTCAACGCCGAGTTCGTGCCCCCCCACGAGACGGGCGCCGCCCTCTACATCCGACCCCAGATCTACGGCTCCAGCGCCCAGCTCGGCCTGAGCCCCCCCGACGAGTACATCTTCGCCGTCTTCGTCATCCCCACGGGCGTCTACCACGGCACGCACCCCGTCAAGGCCCTCATCCTCGAGGAGTTTGACCGCGCCGCCCCCAACGGCGTCGGCAGCGCAAAGGTCGGCGGCAACTACGCCCCCGTCCTGCGCTGGAGCGACGCCGCCCGCGGCGACGGCTACGGCATCACCCTCCACCTCGACAGCGCCCGGCACGAGGAGATTGACGAGTTCAGCACCAGCGGTTTCATCGGGGCCATCGTGAACCCGGGCGACGATAAGGATGTCACCCTCGTGGTCCCCAGCTCCAAATGCATCATCGACAGCGTCACGAGCGACAGCATCCTCCAGATCGGCCGCAGCTTCGGCTGGAAGGTCGAGCAGCGCGCTATCAAGTACGGCGAGCTGCCGGCCTTCTCCGAGGTCATGGCCGCGGGTACCGCCGCGGCCCTCGTGCCCATCCGTTCCATCACCCGTCGAAACGGCCCGGCTGGCGGACTGCCCTCTGACTCGCCCCGCGTGAGCGTCGGCAAGGGCGAGGAGGTCGTGACGTTCCTCCCCCAGGAGCAGGAGGATGCGGGGCCCATCTGCCTGAAGCTGATTACGCAGCTCAAGGCCATCCAGCTGGGCAAGGTGGAGGACGCATTTGGCTGGAGGGTCGAGGTCGGCACCAACGATTTGGAGCTGGCGGGGCCTGAGCGAGAGCGGAATGGGAAGACGCCGACGGTGGATCAGATGGAGTAGAGGGACTGTGAGAGAGGCTCGACGAATCGAAGGATTCGAATAAAAAGCAAAAATTAAAAGGTTTGAAGGTTTTTCAAACCAATGTATAAAAAAAGAAATAACTGCACAAATTTATCTATCATGAAACAGCATTGGCGGATTGAGAGTGGGGATTTCGTGCTCCAGACTGTTCGGTTTCCGGGACCAGACGAGCCCGTCTTACTCGAGCTCTGGCAGCCCAACGTGCCAAGTCATGCATCGCAGATGCAAGTCTCGTACACGACCAAAGTAATAAAAAGTCCCCCAGCGCGTCCTCCTCCTGTCCGGAAGCGCACCTGTGATCGTGGCTTGTTTGTTGTGAAGCTGACGTCCCCCTTCACCCCCTTACTTTGCCCCCCTTCCCCATTTCCCTCGCCTGCATGTTTCAAGTCTCGTAAGACTTCCCTGACTTATCTTACTTGTTGGAATAAAGAGAGAGCGAGGCAGATTAAGAGGTGCAGCCTTGTCATTTCCCTGGGAACGGGGAGTAGAGTGAGAGGGGGCTGAGGGGGGCGGGAAACGAATACAATTTGTCAATGATTAGGGAGATGATGGTTGACAGATACAATATATATATTACACAAGGTGGCACCGCCACTGGTATCCGGGAATAAAGTCTCCCATTACTACTTGTCAATCATACAAACGCACGACCTCGAGAAGCGCTTGCTCTTCATTATTGACCACACCTAGCTTGATTGGGAGCTCGAGGCAAGGGAGAAGAAAAAGAAAAGAAAACGAGAACCGCAACAACAACGAGAAGAAACTCTATCGATCACAGGCGGAGGGCAGAAGGCCCGAGAATACTTCACTCATACGTTCGAAGATGTGCGTCATGGACTACAAGTACCGTGTCTGCCCGTGTCTTCACCCCAGGTGCCCCCAGACCAACGCCAACGCCCAGATCGTCTACATAGACGGGCGTGCTCACCACCTCGACTACCCCTTTCCCTACAAATACGTCGAGGAGGGAAGCAAGGTGTGCGATCTGGAGAGATACCGAACATTCAACCCGTACACGCCAGCGAGCTCCATCTGCCGCAACTTCGTCCCCGGGTTCCTGCACCCCGAGGTGATTGTGGCAGACTCGCCGTGCCTGAAGTGCGTGTCGTGTTTCAACATGCCCTAGAGGGGGAATGAATGGCAGTAATGGGATTCGACGGGCAATTGGGGGGTGGTAAGCGCCTTGGTTTGATGGGGTAATCTTGACCGGCTGGCTGGCCCAATCCACAGTGAAAAAGGAGATGTTTGAGCACGACGTGGGCGGCTGCTTGTCGAATCAGGGGGGGAAGGATACTTGTCCACTTGGCCGCATGACAAAGCGAGACTTTGGTACGTTAGCTTGTTTACAATATTTGCATTCTACTCTCAGCGTAATCTCGGAAATGCTTTTGCTGACTGAATGTTCTTGGTAACAGGAAATGATCGGGGGCTAAGTGATGGCAGAAATCCGGTTTTCCTCTTTGGGATTCATATATGATATTCACTACATTCACGAATGCCTGGCACTTCGTGTTCAGCTTGTGGCCGAGACGGGTCACACCAAAGGCCAAGTCGATGATTAGATGTCCTGCTTGATCTGTAACACAGCAAGATCAATCATTATCGATTCACTCGATCATGGGTTAGGTACGGAGCCTATATATTGCCCCTCGGACAGGAATGCAAGAAGGGTAAGAGGAAGCAGAAGAACGGCAACAACGACTTTGCAAGATGACCGACGGTAGCACTACCTACTCATCAACCATGACCACTCCAAGGCAAACATTTATGAAGTCAAGCAGTCCCTCATTTCCCACCGGAAAAGTGACAGCGAGGCACAAGTCCGTAAAAGGGGAAACGAAACCAAGCGGACGGTCTTCGAGACCTCCTGATGTGCGAGTTCGCCTGGCGCCAAGTCGTCTGCCCCTGCCCACAGGGCCGTGTCTACTGCTCCCAGATATGCTACGGCGTCATTGAATGGGGCGGCCACGACTACCACGTCATACCATACGCAGAGCCCTTTTTCGCGGAGCAGGGACATGCGTGTGCTGTCGAGTTGCAGCGTCTTCGGCGGCGTGGTGTCAACATCCGTGATCCGGCCGCGATGGGGTTGGGGCGGATGGACTGCCCTTTCACGGAGGCCTACTTTGATCTTCGGGATCCGGTGCCAATCGTCGCCACTCATAGGTGCAATGAATGTAGGCAGCTTTGTTTGAGAGGGAATTTCCGCCCTTGGGGGTTCTAGACGAGTTTGCTGTTGTAGAGTCTAGTCGTTGTTGGGGTATGTAGTCACTCGGAGGTTGTAGGTGCTTTCTCTGTTAGGCATGTGTGGTTTCATCGCCTTGATTTCTCATACCTCAAGCTTGGTCTGGCAGTTTGTGAAATTTAATTTCACTGAACTTTCTCTATAATTGGCTGCGATTAGTTGTGTACATGCTCAAGTTGTGGCAGCTATTGAGAAGAACGCTTACCGTGTAGAGCATGCGGAATGGGATGTGTTTCAACAACGGTCTAAAAGTTGAGAAAGCCGAAGCGACTGAAAGGAGGAAAATCTAACCAATTAGTTAATTAACTTAATTGAAGGCATTTTCTATGCCCTGCTGGATGCACATGTTGCGAGTACCAACTCCATGATGATGTTGGTGTTCACTGAGACTCGACTAACCTCACAGACTTGACCTCAAATTAACCCAATGTTTTCCACAAAATAGGGAAAACATATCGAAATTTTAGTAGTACCTCTGGATAAATATCAGCAATGCTGGATTTCGAGCGGGCAATTTAATTTAGGCCGTTTCTCGACTCTCTCGAATCCGTTGATGCCTCAAAGAGGACTAGCCAAATTTTCAGCTGAGCTGCATCGCGCGTCGTTCATTCACGTCGCTCATCCTGACTCGCTTCGTCGATCCCTTTCGCGTAGATTTCCAGAATGCCAAGAGTCCTCCTGCTGCTTGCTTAGCAGATACTCTGAGAGCTGCCTCCTGCAGCGCCCTCCAACATGTCGGACGACGGCAATCACTCGCCGACGGACATCATCACCTACATTGGTGTGCCCCTGGCCGTGTTAGGAGGTATTTGCCAACCGATCCATTGCCTACGTGTATCATGTAGACAGCGCATCTCATGCCCGTAACTAATCACCTGCTGAAAGTCCTGCCCATCCTGTACAACACATTCGCAACCCTCGTCTCGCTCTCACGCATCAAGCGCATGCTGCGGCGCAGTCGCCTGCCCGCCCTGACGAGGAGCGACATCGTGAACCGCATCATCGAGATCGAGCTCCCGCGGTACGCCGTGATGCCCCTCGACCGCTTCCAGGACCGCGCAAAGTACTGGACCTTGTCAAACCACCCTAGCCCCATCCCAGGCGGCACCTGGACCACCTTCAACTGGCGGACGCACTCCATTGGGATCAAGAACCAGCGCGTCGAGTACGCCGACCAGGTGCGCCAGCCGCAGGTAGAGATTTCTTTCGACGAGCTGGTGTGCTACCTGCTCGATCTCGGCGCCGTGGCGAACCCGCATGGCTGGAAGCTGCTGCGCTCGACGGGGCTCTGGACGCCTGTGGGTTGCTGCTTGATGACGTCTCCCGATGGGAAGGAGGACGCTCTCACCATTGCCCCCTCGGATGATGCGGATGGGAACCTCTCTCTGGCTGTTGCGTGGTCTAGTTCTTGGATCACGAGGGACTATGCCACCTTGCCGCCGTACTGGGTGCGTCTGCCGCCGCCACCGGTGAAGGAGACGGCGGTAGAAGAAGTGCAAGTAGAAGGTTCACAACCGGAAAGCTCTGCAGCACCTGAGTACGAATCTCGACCCGGCTCAGAGAAAGGCCTGAGGAAGGATGAGGCTTCAAGGGGAAACTCGATCGAGTTAGACTCGATCAAGAATGAGAATCGCGCCAGTTCCAGCAAGCCAATCACTTGCCAGATTTCACTGTCCGGCATTGTCAGCGCTCTTACACAGCAAGAGTTCTACAGCAACCAGAGCACGGTGAACCTTGAAAGCCTCTACATTGACCATCTCCGCATCACGCCCGGCAAGTCGAACGGGGTATGGTTTGCCAGCGCGGCGACTGCCCTGGGGACGTCCAGTCAAACCATTCTGTGGAATTACAAGATCCCGGACGAGATTCTGTACTTTGCGAGAAAGGAGACGGTGCCCTGCGGCGTGCTCGAGGTCATCGGGATGGTTGGCGAGTCGGACACGCCCGAGTGGGCGACGAAACATAACGACTACGGGGCCTCTCTCGACCAGTTCACGAGGCAGCGCCAGCAGCAGCAGGCTGCCATGGCTGCCGAGGCTCGTATGGCTCCGGCCCAACGGGAGGCTGCGGCGAGAGACAGGATGCGTCAGGAGAACGAGCAACGCATGCAGGATAGTAAGACGGACTCCTTGTTGTTGGCTTGCCTTGATATGTTACTTCCTTACTGACCCAATTAGTGCGAGATAAGCTGAGAACGCAGCAACAACGACGAGATCAGCGCATGCTCGAGGCACTACAGAGCCCAAAGTGGGATGGGAAACTTGTCGCCGAGCACTGTTTTCGCTGGCTCAAGGGTAGAAACTGCTGGGATGAGAAGTCGACGGCGAAGGACGTGGCAGGTTTCTTGTTGCACAAGATGGTCCTCGATGGGGAGTTCGCCTCTGAACTATGCCGCATGTTGGATAGGTGGAAGGCTTGGGGTGAGATGGGGGGTATGAAGAAGGACGATTATCTGTTTCTCCAGGAGAACCAGACAATGTTTTCCAACGCCGCCCTTTTAGTTGCTTTGATTCGGGACACGTCGGTGGCGGCAGAAGGGACTGTTTCAATGGATCTGCAGGAGTGTCTACGGATGTGGAAGAAGGTCAGGCTTGGCTAGACTCAACACACCCCTAATTTTAATATATTTGAAACTGTGCCAATTTGTTCGAAACCTACGTGAATGAGGTCGACAGTAAGGCAAGCTGAACTGCCTACTAGTTGGCCACATATAGGTAGGTGAAGAGTCCAATAC